TTAGCCTTTAGATATTTAAAAAAAAATAATTGCTTACATTTTTAGTTCAAGGCATACGCTTATGTTTATTTTGAAAAATATGGATAATCAATCTATGTAACTATCTATTTCATTTACCTTGTCAAATCACCAGGCCTACAGGGTTGCCATAATTTTGCCATATCATAATCCGTCAAAACCCACTGGTAGCCATTCAGTTTGGCAGTTAGGCATTCCAAATGAATGAATTACCAGTGGGCAGGTTTGGTATATCTAAGGGTGGCGACATATGGTGTATTCTATCTACTTTACGTAAAATCATGAATAATGGATTATATTTAAATATTTTATGTCAAACACAATAAAAATAATATTTAAAAAACCCATCTATACATTTCTTCATAAATTGACAGGCTTGGCGAGTACTACTTCGAATAAAAATAGCGTCCAAGTTGCAAGACTATGTCGCTACCCCCTTAAATATACAAGAATTTCCCACTGGCACCTATTGTTTGACAGGTCGTTGGAATGCCTAATAAGGGTGTAATTGACATTGGTGTACACTGCACCAACAGCGAACGAAAGAACCAAATATCTCTCTACTAATTTAATTATTGCACTGCTCTCTAACTTCTGTATATTTTTTAGTTAGTGGCACTGGATATAAACCAATTGGCCAGTCAATTGTCAGGTGAACAAATGAAAATATCGTATAACAAACTATTATTTTTCAAACTACATTAAAGGCTGTATGTCACGATACTAAATTAAGTACTAAATTTAGAACTAAATTAATGCATTTTTTAAGTACTAAAAAAATTCACGTTGCAAACAGCAAATTTAGTACTAAATTTAGTGCTAAAAAAGTCATTAATTAAGTACTAAAAGTGCGCCGAAATGTTGCGCAGAAGTTTTTCATAGAAAAAGTTGACACGACGGTATTAGGCATTCCAATGACCTGTCAAACAATAGATGCCAGTGGGAAATTCTTGTATATCTAAGGGGGGTAGCGACATAGTCTTGCAACTTGGACGCTATTTTTATTCAAAGTAGTAGTCGCCAAGCCTGCCAATTTATGAAGAAATGTATAGGTGGGTTTTTTAAATATTATTGTATAATCCATTATTCATGATTTTACGTAAAGTAGATAGAATACACCATCTGTCGCCACCCTTAGATATACCAAACCTGCCCACTGGTAATTCATTTGTTTGGAATGCCTAATTTTCTGTACCCTTTTATTTTTAATTAGCGACAATTTTACATTATCGCCTTGAATAAAGTTCGCTTGTTTGATTTTGTAGGTTTTATTATGTTTTTTTCGTGGTTTTTATGCTGTATTTGGTTGTTGTCAAGTCAACTAGTGTCAAATTGATAATAAAAACACCATTTACTTGTCTGTTTTACACATAATATTTCATTTCTCTGTTAATTTTACGTATTAATACGTCAATGCGCGTGCGCCTATAGTAAATTTAGTACTAAAAATTGGTATCGTTGCAAACGGAAAAAAAAATTTTTAGTTCTAAATTTAGTACTAAATTAATAACTTAATTTAGTGCTAAATTTAGTACTTAATTTAGTATCGTGACATACAGCCTTAAAGTTGCTTTAACTTACTAACTAAATTATACATAAATGGATTCCTTAAGCAATATCCCACAAAACTATGTCAACTGAAAATAAAATATCGAGTGCTAGATTGTTGAAATTATTATATTTGTAAGCAAGAGTGATAATTAACAAAAGTTCATGTTTTTTCTTAACGAAAACATATCGGCGTTAAGTTATATAATACATTAATGGATTCCCTAAGTAATATACTACAAGAATACGTTACTAAAAAATACAATATCGAGTGCTAGAACGTCGAAAATAACACAAAATATTTGGACTCGGAGTGACTTTACATAAAAATATGTTTTTACTTAACGAAAAATTATCGACGCTGAGTTAAATCATACATCAATAGATTCCACAAGCAATATGCTACAAGAAAATGCCAATCAAAAATACAGTATCGAGTGCTAGATTGTTGATATTATTATATTTTGTAATCAAAGGTGATTTTTAACAAAATTACATATGATTTTTCTTAATGAAAAATTATCGGCGCTGGGTTATGTAATACATCAATTAATTAGTTAAGAAATGTGTTACATACGTTACTGAAAAATACAATATAGAGTGCTAGAACGTGGAAAATAACAAACATTTGGGCTCGAGGGATACTTCACATAAATGTATGTTTTTGCTTAACGAAAAATTATCGGCGCTGGGTTAAATCATGCATCGATGGATACCCCAAGCAATATGCTACAAGACTATGTCAATCGAAAATAAAATATCGAGTGCTAGAAGTGATGCCGCGAGACAAGACGAGACGAGAGAGTGGCCTCTCTCGTCTCTTAAGGGCGAGAGAAAACTGTTCTCTCGTCTCGACGAGAAGGCCCTTCTCTCTCGAGAGAGAGCCTTTCTCTCGTCTTGTCTCGTCTCGTTTCTCTCGTGATAAAACAATATCAAATTTAAACTTGAAAAAAACGAAACGTGAAAAAACGGTAAAATTTGTAAGACAAAAACAGAAAGATTTTTTCAAGTAATTTGCGCATTATTACCCAAATTAGGCAATAAGAAACACTTATGTCTCTCTGTCTGTCCGTCTGTCACAGTCGTTTTACAATTGAAATTTGAAGTAATAAGTGGCCCAGATTAGGCGTTAACTAAAAACGAAAATACTTTGTCTTGTAAGTCAGTTGGGGAGGGGGGAAGAGGTTAAATTGGAAGTTAGAATTTTTCTAATTCAATCCTGCAATGTTAAATGAAAGCATTTTGTAATATTATTGTTTTATTATTTCACAGTCTTGGTAATTTAAAATGTTTAGTTTTTAAATAGTCTATACTTATTCAATGCATAGTGGCGCATAACGAGGTTCATTCAAGTTCAGCTAATTTTAAAAATGCAAGCTACCAGTGGAGACTTCATTTATTTAAATTCAAAAAAATAAATAGGAAATATATATTTTTTTTCAATAAGTACAACAATATTAACTTCTTAGTTATTCAATAAAAGAAAAAAAATTGTTTTCTTATCGATTACCACGCTCAAAAAGTGTAACTTGAATTAATATCAAAGAAAAAAAAATACTGCATAAATAAAATAAATAATTAAAATTGCATAAGTTGGAGGCTAATGGCCGTAGTCGTCGACGCCGATGACACCAAATTTAAAAAAAAATTGCATCAGTTGATAAAAAATGCTGTGCAATAGCTTTACCGCGGCAGTTCTTGAGTGCCACACGTATTTTTAATCAATTTTTAAATAAACTCCAAACAAATCATAATAAATGTTTAAAATGACTACCATTTTCTTGACTACACAAAGTTAAAATGCAATCTTTGCAAACTCTACCATGTTTATTAAAACATCAGCTTTAGTTATAATTTTGTTTTGTAAATCTTGCATATATTGTAGTTGAATAAACTAGAGAGTTTAAAGCACCCCACAGAAAAAAGTCACAAGGTGTCAAGTCCGGAAATCTTGCAGGAAATCATATAGAAACAATTTTTTCTTTATATCAATCGTTCAGGAAATCTTCAGGTGAGGCAGGTAACGTTTGTTGTAAGAAATGTAAATAATTTTCCCCGTTGAATGGATTTGACATAGGTCAAATTATTAAATTGTCAATAATTCAAGCTCAGACATTAATTTTGAATGTATGTTGAAAATGGGTTATTTTCGTCAGTGTAAACTTTTTTTTTTTTGGCATAGTCTCATTTGTCATACAGCCAGTCACAAAATGGAAGAGGTAAATCATTAAATATTTCATTTCAAATAACAAGAGGATTAAACGGGGACACTCGCTTCTCGCCTAGGGACCCATCAAGGCATTACAAAAAAACAGACATACACTAGGTCACGGTAAGGGGGTAAAATAAAACAATAGGAAAGAAAACAAAGGTAACGAGTCTAAGAGAATTACTAATCACAAGCGTAACCTGATTCCATTAAAAAATTAATCAAGCAGTCATAAATGTTTGTGGTAGTGTAAACCTGGTCGTTAGGTAAATTAGTTACGCCATGTCTAGTAAAAGAAGCTTCGTCTGTAAAAAGACGGTATAAAAGTTTTCATTTTGAATAAAATTACAAAACACTACACGCGTTGTAAATTCCACGGGAAAAAGTTCTTGTACCTGTCTGATTTGGTAAGGATACATTGTTATTTTAAAATTTCATAAACAATGCTTTTGAGAAATGCCATGTTGTGTTCTATACGTCTTCTACTAACTGTCGAATCGTGTTCGACCGCATTTAATATTTGTTCAACTTCTACAGTTCTTGTCTTACGCGTTCGACCTCGTTCCATATTCCTTGATTCTACTATTTTCACCAAGTCGCCTTTTCAGTATTTGTAAATATTTGGCGATTTGGGACTTGGCGATTAGGAAAGCTCTCCTCATAAACTCGAACGCTTTCGTGGCCATTTCCGTCACAAAATCCATGTACCAAAAGCATTTCAACTAGTTCATTGTATGTGTAAATTTGATTCATGGTAAAGGTTATAATGATAATAAATTTAAATCGATATGTGACACTTATACATGAATATGCTTAAACATAAATATACAGGTAAGTAGTAGAGAAAGAAACTAATTTTGGAAAAGTTTAATTACAAAATATTACATAAAATTAAAAAGACCTAGTGAGTTATAATTTTCTACTATATTTCGCTATAGGACTAATTGATTCCTGCATATATCATTGTTTTTTCTGTATGTAGAAATAGCATAAAAAACTATATTGCAGAGAACTCTACCTATATACATTTTAAACAGCCAGAAATCCAAAATTAGATAACAAACGTTTTTCAATTTTGCGCAATCATCCATAATATGTGTACCTTCGAATAAACGTAAATATATATAATATCGATGTAGATATAAAATCACCTGTCAATATATGTTCGTCGGTATCATATCTTATCAATTTATTTTATAATATAAATATCAGAACGAGAACAATCCACCTGGCACAAAGTGTACCTACTAACGATGAACTGATAAGTTTCCATCAATCAGTCTGATACTGGTGTTGGTTAGTGTCGAAACTTCGGCTTCTAGTGTCTACGATCAATTTGACAGCCATGGCTGGGTACGATGAGTATGCGCCATACGAAAATACCACTTGGCACATCATCCCCCCGGATTATATTCATTTGGAGGAGGAGTACAGATATCCGTAAGTTTTTTTTTTGGCTTTTTTTGCATAAAAATAAAGTGCTTTGGATGTTCATTGGACAACCTCTCACCCAGGCAGCATTGTATATCAAAATTACTACAGATTTAACAAAAAAAGTAGCGCATTTTATATAGAGAGTAGTTGCTGAAAGCAATATCACAAAAACAAGTTTAAAAAGGATATCATTAAAAGTATAAGCAAGTACCCCTCGTTCTTTGTTCCCTTATAATAACAATGTTCCTATTAATTAAAATATCCCCAGCTATAATCTTCTTCTTCTTCTTCTTCTTCTTCTTCTTCTTCTTCTTCTTCTTCTTCTTCTTCTTTTCTTCTTCTTTTCTTCTTCTTTTCTTCTTCTTTTCTTCTTCTTTTCTTCTTCGTCTTCTTATTCTTCTTTTTCTTCTTCTTCTAAATAAAAAAATGCATAATTTATCCACGATTACGTTTTGATTCCCGTTACTTATGACCTTCTGAGTGATGTTATTAGTATATTTCCTTCTTGTAGGTACCTATGTGATCTTGTAATCTGGTACTTAGTTTAGGTACTGCCTAAAAAAATCTTTCTTCAATCCTACCATCTATTTACCAACACCAAACCCCTTTATTCACACGCGGCAAGCCGTGAAATTAAATTAACCATTCTAGTACTTTCCGAAAAATCAAAATACGTGCTGCATGAATGCAAGTAAAAGCATTAAAACTGACCAAATCTACTCGTCGGTATTTTCCAAACAGTCTGACAGTCTGCTTTTCGAGTATCTGTCAAGTGTCTATGTAGGGGTTCGCAGAAAGTTAAACTTAAGAGCGATTTGAATGAATGAACCGGAATTACTATGATTTTACTACGACCGGTGCGGGTGGTCTCAAGAAGAATTTCGGGTACAGAGGTCCGTTTTTGGTATGAATGGAAGCAAGGGCGTAGCAATCAGGGTTTAAATACAATAAAATTTATTAAATTAGTAAATTAGGATATAGAAATAGGATCCACGAACACGAAATTTGATTTACTGGTGATATTGCCGCATTTAGGATATTTTATGGTTTCCTAAACTAGCTGAGGGGTTGTAGCTAGATGGTATAACTTTTTAATAAAAAATAATATTAATTAAAATTATTTATTCACTAATTAAGTAAAGTAATAATGTAAAAAGACAATCTTCATTGATTAATAGTAAAAATAAAAATTATACATTAACTGGGTACTCACCAAGGGTACATCATTCTTAGAGGGATGGTGCTCATGTCGCTACTTCATTTAGTGGTTTTCCAGGTTTGGGTATCATTATAATTTCAACGACTTTCCAGATGCTAGATACTTATTATTATATTACTATTATATTATTGAGTTTAACTACAGCTTTTCTTGGCAATTGTTTTAGTATTTCACCCATTTCATACTCGGGTACTTTCTTAGCATTCATATTTTCTTTGATTTCCTTAGCTACCTCCTTATGCATTACCATAGGAGTTTCTGCTGTTTTTGTTCTCGTTTTTTAATAAATCGAGTCCTCGTTCTTCATTCGGTTGAATTTTTTTCGAGATGATCTGTAAAGATTTTAGCTTTATGTTTATTTGAGCTTATCCAGTTTCCATTGTCTTCTTGTGTTGGTGGCATATGGACTATTGGGCGTTTACGTTCCTAGTCACTTTCCACAGAGATAAATCAGTACTTTCTGAGATATATGTCTATATTGATTCATTTTCAATAGTCATTATTTGTCTTTTAAGTTCTTGTGTTAATTTGTTGAGAACTACTTTATCTTCAAGAAATCTGGTTATTTGCCATTTTTTTTTCATGCATTTCTCTTCTTATTTATTAGTTCTTTTATTTCTTTAGGATATAAATTGCCTACGATTTTTCCTGTAATTTCTGGTGACGCTTGCTGTTTGTAAATGACAAATTTTTTCAGTTCGTACTCTAGTTGTTATTTCGTTCTTAGTAGTGCACTTAGCTCAATTCTGTTACCTAATTTAGCTTTAAAACATACCCAGTTTGTCTATTTATTACACAGTATAGGTCTAATTTCCTTTTGTATTATATTTTCGCTTAGTGTCATTATCACCGGGGAATGAGTCCAAGTCAAAGTTTTCTTCTATTTTAATAAAGTTTCCAAGTATTTTTCTAGCGATGTAGAAGTTCAGTAAGTCCAGGTATTTTATTTCTGTCGGTTGACCAATAGGTTGGTCTTCCTGTTGGCTAGTAGTCACACCCAATTTCACTTGCAGCTGCATGAAATTCCCTACCTTTGGTGGTTGTTAATTTCGAGCCCCAGATGATATTTTTGGCATTAAAATCACCTCCCAAGATAAAATGTTCTCCGATTTATTTCTTTTTTCAAATTATGTCATGTTGTATACTGCTTCGATTACGAAACTATATTTATTCGTTTTTATGTTAAATGTTGTTATCTGTATTTCTTCTGGTCTTATTTTGTTCTCGTCATAATGGTTAGCGTTATTCGACGAATGTATAGTATATAGACTTTATATCCGTTATACTGTATTTGTTTCGTTAAATGTTTTTCTGATATTAGACAGATATCTATATTGTGTACTATAAAGAACACCTGTAGCTTTTCTCGATGGTCTAGAAGTCCATTGGCATTTCACGTAACAATAATTAAGTCTTTACACTCCATTAAGGATGTCTACGCGTTTTGGAGAAGGTAGCTTCCTTTAATCTGGTAACTCTATCAAGAATTGTATTCATAGTTATAATTTGGTTCGTTGAAACTTCGTTTCCAGTTTGATTAAGTCTGTTATTACTAGCCACGTTTAAGTATGTTAAATTTGCCATTCTTTGTGCATTATTAGTGATAGGACGTCTGGTTTGGGTATTATTTTTATTGTGGTTAGTTTTGCTTACCTTTTATCTTCTATATTGTATTTTTTTGCGACTTTGCATTCTCTATGGATGTGCTTGATTACAATTTGGGCATTATGGTGGTATACTAGCCGGTTCATCACATTCTCCTGTAAGATGGATTTTGACACGTTTAACACACTTGTTGCCTATTAGAAAAATGTTTAGTATGCCCATATCTTTGGCATCGTTTGCATTGGTGAGGTATCAATTTTGGGCTTCTCACTGGCTCAATTTGGATTATTATTATTATCTTAATTTCGTAAATTCTTTTGTCTTTGCCGTCTTCAAATGTTAACATAACTAGCGTCTTGGTTTGAGAGATCTGTTGTCATTGTTAGACATTTTTGTTCAATTTGATTTCATCGTTAATTAATATAATAGCTACAAAACTGATACTTAAAAAGAAGAATATTTTGTGGATCACTTTACACTGTAAACCTTGAGATGATAAGAAAAAATTCAAAATAATTTTCTGCGATTTCTGTATTTTAATTAATTGAAATTTTATCTCTGTAATATGAAACGCAGCGTTGCACAAATTATGTTTTTATGCAAAACTAGAGAAGCGGTTGAAAACATTATCCATTTACGTCTAAACACAAACCAACTCTTCTCTGCAATCCAGCAAAAATGTAATGCGACATTTGCAGTGAGTTGTTAAATATTAGGGAAGGAGTTGTTAAATATTTGGTATCAGCAGGACGGCGTAACACTACATTTTGCAATGGAGGTATCTCAATCAGGTTTTTCCAAATAGATGAATCGGTAGACACGGAGAAATTGAGTGGCCTGCCAGTCCGTTTTCCAGATTTGACCCGGCTCGAGTATTTTTATAGGAATATTTAAAATCTACAATAATTGGTCAAAAAATGTTGATGATTTAAAAGACAGAATAAGGCAAGAAGTTGATCAATTCATCCCGAAAACAATACATAATGTTTTAGAAGAATTTCAGCAACACCTCCATTATTTTTTTGAACATTTGATTTAAAATGTTTTTTTTCTACACCCGTATTATAATAATGCACTTATATGCCCATAATCCGTTTCATAATGATACCCATTATGATACAGATTTTTCATTATGATACAGATTTTTAATCAATAGAAACCTACAATTTTTCAATCAAGCATGATGTTTGACGTTTGTCCTAAATTCCTATGTAATTGTTTTAGTTGTCAAAACGTATTAAATTTTCGTAGATAGCTAAACTTCGATAATTATAATATTAAAATGTCTGATATCAGCGATATAGAAGACTCCTCCACACATATCGGAGAAAGGAGAAAATGCAGTACAAAATATTTAGCCCCAAAAATCTGTGGTAATACCAATACCCAAGGTAATACCATTAATTACAATTTTGTAGAATTTTTTATAGAAATACGAGTAATTACTGTTATTGTGTTCAATGCCAATATAAATAGAATATTTATAGGTCTTGATTATTTATCGGGTGTAGAAAAAATAGCGTATGCAACTCTCATGTAATGGTTATTAAAACACTCGCATAAACCATACGAAACTCGCCTTTGGCTCGTTTCGTATCCCGGTTAATGCTCGTGTATTAATAACCATCATTACATGATCGTTGCATAATATACTATTGTTTACCTAGTGACATTTAAAATGTAATATTTTTAAATAAAAAATGTAGAAAAATTTAAGGAATCTTGTATTGCTGGATAGAAAATCAAAACGCTTTTAAATGAGCTGTTACTCGCACCCTCGTTGAAGGGGGATGTATAAAATAAGGCTTAAAAAATATCATTTTAGAATTAAAAATTGACGTGTTTCAAGATTACTTAGAAAATGAATTTATCCATTACTTATGGATTGCACTCAATATGATAACCAATTTTCACGTTTTATTAAAGATTAATAAATCAAAATTGTTGTGTTATTTGTAATTTCTAATGTGTAGTGGGCTACACCAAAAAACAATCCTCTAAACCTTATTGCTTCTATTGTACTCATATAATATAAAAAATTACTCTGCAGCTCAATTTTTTGATAACCATGGATAACCATACAGCACAAACACATTTCAGAAACATTTCAAAAATATTACATTGAAACATTGGTAATGTATAAATATTACGAAACCTTCCAGATACATTTCTGAAATGTGTC